AAGCTGAAACCTTCCCGATACTTTCTCGCATAGTCCCTATTCAAAATAATTTGCTGCATAAAGCTGAAACCTTCTGATCTTTCTCGCATAGTCCATTTTAAAATGGTTTGCTGCATAAAGCAGGAACCTTGCCGCATAAAGCGGGAACCTTCGTGATACTTTCCTGCATAGCTAATTTGCATGCGAAAAAGACACCTATCTGGAAGGTTCCCGATAGCTATCTGGTGCTGAGCAGGTACACTATGCAGGAACCCTTATATTTTTATAAGGCGCCAGCTTAAATGTTGGATTGTTCGGAAGCATGAGATTGTAATGTAAATTTCATTCATTAATAATAATAATAGTTTATTACGCAACTGTAATCTGCTGTGGACACAGTAAGGTAAAAATAGTGTAAAATAAAGCAACTAAAAATAACTACAAAAATAGTAAAAAAATAGTGATGACGCTATATCCAAAGCCTTCCAGAGTCTCATGTTGACTATTGTCCCGATTGGCATATCAGAATGCTCTATTGAAACAGAACATATTATCGCTGAAAAATTGGCAATAATAGCCAAGGAGGTGAGGGTCTGAAAAAAATATTTTATATATAGGGTATTTAATAAACCGCTCAGCTGCACCAGATCGTCAGTTATTCCATGGACGTACTAGAGATGGACACTGCACGGTGTTTACTGTCTTTGATGTATGTGCGTTGCGCCACCAGATTACTGTTAATCCAGATCGTGCATAATTTCCTGTCCACTGGAAATGATCACAAACACGCCCGATTATAGCTCGGTTCATCTTCATTTTGTCCCAATGATCTGTTTACGATCGTCAAGAGAAAACAAAATGGTGACGAACAGGCAACAGAGCAAATTTGGTTTCGGTTCGGATTTTGTTGATCCCGACACTTTAGAACTAGACGATGATTTTGATATTGAAACTGTCGACTCAGTCGTCCCTGAAGAGGACGAACAGCAGTATTGTTTCTCGCGAGAGCCTACCATTAACGAGAAAGCTAATGTTAAAGAAATCCATGTTTAACATTGAATTACTGCGGCTGAACTTTTTCGAACATTTCAAGCTTTGTGCCATTTCACTCGAATTGAACATCGGATAAAAAAATCGTCATCCGCTCACACCGGGTTTACTGGCAATATTCATTTAAAATTGTTAACAAATGCTGAAGATCGGTACAAACATGCTCGTAAACTTGCCTAGAATATACGGATCAGCGTTAAACCTTTGATTTACAACTTAACATTGCACCAGCTCACGGGCAAGGTCTGTATTTATTTTTTTGACCCAATATAATATAAAATAAAATTTAAGATTTGAATCTTGTCGTGAAAAATCAAAACTAAGATCGGGTGGCAACTCAGCCAAGATGAAAAGTACGTCTGCCTATTCATAAATTTAAGATGAGTACAATAGAAAGACAATGCGTATTATCAGGTCAGAATCACCGTGCAGCGTCCATCTAGAGTCAAGTACATCCATGGTTATTCCCAGCTGGAACGAAACACATAAACAGACTGACTGACTCGTAGTATTTACGTGATCGTATTCATTACGCTGATATTTAATTGTTTGAAAAAAAACACACTTACCATCATAACAACTTTCTTTTCCACAATATAAACCTTCAATAAAGGCATTTGTTGGTGTTGCACACAAGACAATGAGAAGCATCAAAAGCACAGCTTCACTCGTGTACGCCGCCATTAGTAACCGCAGCTAACTGGGGGCGCTTTTCTTCCGGGTCAAGAAAGTGACCTGAAAAAGCAGGGATGTCGTGTTCTTGATGCGGTAAGTTTTGCTTCGTAATTTGGACCATAGCGTGTATTATATATCGCCTCAAAGTGTTGGTATACGTTACCATACTTGAATAAATGAAATAGCAAGTTTTGGGAAAGTGAAATCTTCGGTGAAAAATCGATATACCTTGGTCTATCCATGGATGTACATCTTTTCTACCTCCATGGTCTAACCTATGAACATTTGTCAGTTGTGACCTCAATCGTTTTCCAGATCGCAAGAAATTCATCCAAAATTGGAACTTAACAATATTGCCCCCAAATTGGTCAAAAATTGTAATACACTATATACCCAACTAAAATCAATGTCAA